AAGTGATTTAAATGAAGATCAATTAATTGAAAAACAAAAACGACAAATGAATAAAATTGAAGAAGAATTAAAAACACTTGATGAACAAGTATGATCTTGTTTTTTTTTTTTCAACAATATGACCTATAGATCACTAAACAATAATTCAATACCATCAGTGTGTTTGAATTAATTGAAATGATTTTTTTTTCTTAGTGACGGAAGGTTCATTAAAGTTTTTCTTCATAAGTAAATTATCAATTAGATATTATGTAGAAGTATTATTGACGCCAAAATATAAGGCTGATGACTATTCTTTCAATAACTTTTCATAGAGATCTACGGTTTTCACTGTTGAAAAAGAGACGAATATTTTTTTTATTAAAATGAATCGAAATTTGATTAATCAGCTATTAACCAATCAAGAGAGTTCTTGGTGGAGATTTCAAAAACGATATTCTGAAGTCATTTCCCATTGAATTTTGACTTGTAATAGGACAATACGATAAAGAAAATTGTTTTCTTTTGATCTACACAAGACTGAGCTCTATGGCTTGTTTCATTGAGAAGTTAACGAGGTTTCCCAAGGCTCTCAAAATCAACCAAACAATCTCTAGCCAAGCTATCAGGGATTAGGACAGGCATAATCAACCATGCTGAGTCGAATAGTAACGTTTGTTTTCAGTTTTGAAGCTATCACGCAAGTATTTTCGATATTACCACCCACGAGACAAGCAAAAAAAAATGGTGAAATGCTCACATAGCAGATTCAAAACTGAAAACAAATGTTATTACTCGACTCAGCACGATTGATTATGCTTGTCCTGATTCATGATAACTTAGTTAGAGGTCGTTTGGTCGATTTCGAGATCCTGAGAAAACCTCAGTAACTTTCGAACAAAATAATTTATAAAACTCGACTTTGTATAGATCGAAATAAAACAATTTTCTCTATCGAATAGTCATATTATAAGTCAATATTCAATGAAATATGGCTTCAAAATGTCATTTTCAAAGCCTTTGTCAAGAACTCACCTGATTGGTCAATAGCTGCCCGATCAAATGTTTGCCACTCAAGACTTTGCCTAATGAGAAGAGCTGTCATACATTATAACTTCTCTTTAAGTCAACCTATCGGCACCGGACTGGTCTTGTTGACCTACATTTATAACTTAGTACAAATCTGCACACCGTAAACGATCGTAAATAGTGAGAAGAATCGATGACTGTTTGCTACAGAAACAAGATGCTGATAGATTAGGGCGAAATACGATGAAAATTAATATACTAATACGTCTTCTATTATCTTCTTTTTCTTTTCGTCTTATTTTAAGCTTCGACCTATTGAACGTTATGCATTACGTTGTGTTGAAGCTTATCGTCAAGAATATCAATTAACACAAGTTGCTCCAAATACTCATCTTGATGCTGAACAAATTCGAAAAGATTGGCAATTATCACGTTTAAAATCTTTAAAAGAAGAAGAAGAACGACAATTAGAACAAGAAGATGATGAAATGATGTATACATATGCTTTAGATAAAGAACGACAAATTAAATATAGTTATACATATTCAGCTGCACAAAATAGTTTAATAGCAAATGAATTAGCACGACATGAAAAAAGTTCAGCTGCTATTGCTGCTAGTCAACCACCACCACCACCAATGGTTATTCTTCCACCTACACCTCCGCCTCTTCCTCTACCACCTCCTCCTTCTACTCCTCGTCCTGTTCTCATAAAACGTTCATCTCAAACTCCAATTGAAAATCTTCGACGACGTCGTATTCAACCTCCACCACTACCACTACCACCACCACCTCCTCCTCCTTCTCTTCCACCACCACCACCACCAGCATTAATTCAAAAACCATCTCGACTAATAAAACAACAAACAACATCTCATATAAATAATAATCGACATAATAGTAATGATGATTGTGTTGATTCAACAACACTTCTTGTTGCTGATGATTTTGATGATGATGATGATGATGATGATTTTGATAATAATAATCGTATATATTCATCAAAATCTAAAACAACATTATCAACAATAACAAGAAAACCAATTTCAAATTTATCATGTTTAACACAAAATTCATCAACAACATCAACATCAAATACAAATGGACAACAACAAATATGGATTGTTAATTCCTTAGATCAACAATCAGTTCTATCATTAATTAATTATATTAATCCAAATTCAACAAATAATTCTCGTTCAACAGGATCCATACTTTTAAGTAATAAATCAAATATAAATACATCACCAGTGACAAATCTTCTTACACAACAACAACCTCGTTCATCATCAACAGCTGGTACTGTTTATCAAATTCGTTCATCACAACAACAACAACAACAACAACAACAACAATCATCACAACAGCCTCAACAACAACAACAACAACAACAACAAAATGTTGTTTATCAAATACAAAATGGTCGTATATTTCAATCAACTAAAAAGACAACATAAATGAGAAAAAGAAAAAAAAACCATATTATTATTATTATTATTATTTATCAACTTTATTCCACTATCGCAGGCGATAATTCAACAGTGTATGTCTTTGTTTTTTTTTCTCTTGGTGTTGTCTCCCATATGCATATAGTCATATAAAACAAAAAAAATTTGTTGTTCGTTTTTTTTTCTATATATGTGTGCGATTGTTTCCTGTCTCTCTCTCTCTCTCTCTTTTTCTTTTTTCTGTTCTCTTCTACTAATATGAAATATAAAAACCTATAAATTTAACAACGCACATATATCAAAGTTTATTTGTTGTTTTTGTTTTTTTCTTTTTTCGTCATTTCATTTATCTATCTGTGAGACAAGACAAAAGTTTTTTTGTCTTTTGATTTATGATCTATTCTTTATTTCATATAATCTCGGATTGCCGAGTGTATTCAATGCTGTGGTTTTGTTGAATGAAGACACATCAGTAATAAACAACGAGATATTCGCAATGATAAAAAAAAAACAGAAATTATAATTCAATTATTGATTGGTTGTTTTCTTCTTCATGAGATGTCTTGAATGTTATTTTGGATTTCTAAAAGTAGATGTCGGTGAAATTAAGAAAATTTGACATGGATTCGGACCAATAACCTACTAATGAAGAGTTGTGGTGGTTTTTATGAAATTTGTGTAAAGAATACGACATTGCCGCAGAAGCTGAAACATTGAGTTTTGGCCTAAAATTTTTCTCTCTTGGAAGATTTAATAGACTTGAAAGTTTTAATGAGAATGAATATGTCTTTCTTGAGATGTTCGATTTCCAAAAAAAAACACAGCGCTTCACCGTAGGAAATTACAGTACGAGAACGACATATTTGGTTTTTTTTTTGGAACTTTTGGGACTATCAAATCTGTTTATAAACAAAATTTCAGGTTAAAACTTTTTGTTTTGGATTGATCGGAAATACTTTACTTCGATAAGGCAACGGTTTGTATTGCCAGTTAAAAGATCTGATCACATTCGGATCGAATTATCACCATGAAAGCTAAACTAATGAGTTTCTGATGGCTAGTCTGTGTGACGTAATGATTATTTTACTGCATTTACAGTCTGTGGCAAGGCTAATATGGAGGAAATTAAATTAAGGCATTTTAACCTGAAATTTTGTCTATAGATAAATCTCACAGCCATTAGGAAGGAAGAATACCTCTACCTAGTAGCAGACTCAGTAACCCGATATCTTCTGTACAACTAATTCTAACTCGAGATAAATAGTCGTTAGTAAATTGTTCAAGCCATGACCATTAGTATGCTGTAGAAACTTCAATCTAAAAGAGTATTTTCTTCTTAAGATATTGCATATCCAAAAAACCATCATATGTCATAAGAGGCAGTCAGAAAATAGAGTGTCTTCAACATTTAATACATTCTATTAAACTGAAATTTTTGGATCGTTCTGATGTTCATGAGATTTCTCTATGGATAAAATTTCTTAACTTGAATTTCCCGGCATATGCCTTGCAAAAGATCGAAAACGGTTGTAACACGGCATAGACTAGCCATCAAAAGCTCATATTTCAAACTTAGTAGTATAGCATTAAAGGTTATTAACTCAACTCGAATATGATCAGGTTTTTTCATTGAAAGTACAAATCATTCCATCTTCAGTAAAAGTTTGATTAAAATAACTTTAACTATTCATCAGTAGACCACCGATAGTTTGATATGTTTCCCTCATCAGATTAATTAAACATATTCACAGCAAGTTTTATATTGATCATTCGAAATTTCAATACATTTTCTAATAAAGATCTGAAAAACAAAATTGGATGTTTCCGCATGGAAAATCAATTATTGATAACAAGTTTCATATGTTCTATCATCCTGCAATCTTATAAGAGTACTAGTAAAATACGTTCTGAGCCAAAAGCTCAAACAAAAAAAAATGTTCGGATAACATGCCGTTAAAAGAAATGGCAGTAAATGCCTAATGATTCTAATATGTAGCCAAGCTACATTTGACTTCATTTTCTAAACATTTATTTTATTGATTCATAAGGGAACTACACGAATTGATATCCGCCGTTTATGTTCACAAGAAGATCTCGGTAAAACTAGAAAAATTCTTTAAAAGTTCGTTCCTAATGGGTCTCTGGAGGCCGTGTTATGATCGTTCTACTGAATTTTGACATGAAGTTCAACAACTCTGAGAAGAAAGTTTCAGCCGAAAAGAATGTTCCTTTGTCAAGATATTAATTTTTTCAAAAAATGATGATTTGCTATAAAAATCAATTTTACTTAAAAATTCAATATCTTGACAAAGGAACATTCTTTTCGAATGAAAGTTTCTTCTCAGAGTCGTCAGATTTCAGATGAAAATTCAGTAAAACGATCATAACACGACTGCACAAGCATCTTATAGGATTTTTCTAATCTTACCGAGATCTTCTCGTGAATTCAATATGAATTCAAGTATTTTACCAATATACATTCTCATTAGAACGAATCAATCAAATAAAAATTTTTATTAATTGTAAAAAAAAAAGAAATTATTTTTATTCTTTATTTTCTTCACATTCAATTTTATTTTTCTGTTGAATATTCATTAATATACATTCTTCTTGTGATTTCGTATGTTCTGAAGATGATATATCTTCTATATGTGTATCATGATCTTCTTCTTCATAACATATAGGTAATTTTTGATTATGATTTATTATTATTTCTGATTGTATTAATTGATTTAATGTTTGTTGAGGTATTAAAATATTATTATCAGATTTTTCTGCTTGTTTTATTGTTTCTGGTAAAGCTAATTTTGTTCGTGTTTCAGGTAAAAATATTGCAAAAAATGCTGCAATTAATGAACATATACTAAATATAATATATGGTAATGGAAACCAAACAGATTGTGCTAATAATGATATTTGTGGTGCCCATACACCACCAAGTCTTGCAATACTAACTGTAAGACCAACACCAGTTGAACGTATAACAGTTGGATATGTTTCTGATGTATATATCCATGATAATGCTTGTGATGCTGATATAAATAATTTAGCTGATAATGCTGATAATAAACTAATTAATGGATATTGTTTATGTATTATTGGTATTATTAATATTGATAAAGAACATAAAGTAAAAAAACTTATTAATGGAATTTTTCTATCAAATTTTGTTGCACAAAAATGACATAAACAAAGACCAAATAATTCAGCAACAATTGAAAAAAGAAATATTCCATATGGACGATCATTTGTTAATGTTGTTATACCCATACCAATACCAAGATAAACCATTAAATTTGTCATCATTATATAAAATATAATTAAACAACGTTGACGCATAACAGATGATTTAAATAAACTAGTTAAAACATGTATATATGAATAACGTTTTGGACGTTTACGAGCATCACGTTGTAAATCATCATAAAGTTTTTTTTCTGAATTAGCTAATGTATGACGATTTATATAAGCTATACGATGAAGAACTTTTCGAGCTTGTAATAATTGTCCTGTTGATACAAGCCAACGAGCTGATTCAGGTATACACCAATAATAACATAAAAATGGCATTACATATATTGTTAATATCCACATTGTTAATGACCAATCACGTGTATAATAATAGATAAGCATTATAAATAATTCACCTAATATGAATAGAAAATTTCATAGAAGATGTTGGTTTTTGTTTTTTTGTTTTTTTTTTTGCAAAGAATTTTTTATCATACCTGATGTATAGAAATATGAAAGAATATTACTAGCTAATACTCGTTTTGTAGCTGATGTCATTTCTAAAAGTAAAACTAATGTTATTGAATAAGTTGTTTGTGCAAAACCAGTTAAAAATCGACTTATTGTAAAAATAATTAATTTTTTATCATTAGAAAGTTTTGAATGCATAATCATTTGTGTTGAATTAAGTACAATAACTAAAATTAATATAAGTAAATACATTGTTGTTCGTCGTCCTAATTTATCAGACATAATACCAGTTAAAAATGATCCACTTGTACCTATAATATAAGCATTTTGTGTTATACCTTTTAAATGAAGACGATCACAAACAAGATTCCATTCTGTTGATATTGTTGTATTATAAAATGTATTATCAAATACCCATTTTGAACATGGTATTAAATTTTTATTTATAGATTTTAAATAACATTTTCGATCTTTTAATGATAATGGAATATATTGATTAATATAATTTTCATGTTCATTTGATTGTATTTGAAATGTATCAGTAAAATTTATTAATGGTAAATGACAACGATGATCAGGTGTTGCAGCTATAAATACATAATTAAATGCTGTCATAGCTGGTAATATAGCAAGAAGACCAACAAGAAAAAATTGAATTTTTTGATATAAACCAAATGAACCAGCATCATTTAATAATTGATCAATTGTACTTATTGTTGATGGTACATTTGATTGTTCTTGAAGTTGTATTCGTTGAAGTAGTTCAACAAGTGAACGAGCACGACTACGAGTTCTTTTTGGCTTCGGCATAGATTCGTTTTTTTTTCTGTTTTGTCTATCAATAAAAATCTTTAATTTATGTTTTATGGTACAAAAAAAAACATTCAACATTTCTTTTTTTTTTTTTACAATGATTTCAAATAGCAATTATTCGATAATAAACTTTGTCAATGTTACGGATCATTCGAATATCAATTACGATATATGAGTGTTGTTGTTTTTTTTTATAACTTTATATTTAAAACAATTGATGATTTATGGCAAATAGTTTTATTCATTAATAAATAAATTACTTTAAAAATAGAAGTTATTGAATGTTTATCGTTATTCTACAAAATCAATTTTAATTCATAGTTTATTGAGCAAAAATAAAACAAAATATACTATAAAATGCAGGATGAAAAATTCTACAATACAAAGCTCATTTTTTTTATATACACTTTTCGCGACGAATTCTTTTTCTTATATCTTCGATTAAAGAGTCATATCGATAGACGATAGTCAATAGCCGATTTGAATCTTATTGATATGTGTTTTCAGGAGCTTCTAAAAATGTTTCTTTAAGTTTCCAATTATATTTAAGTTTAATGAAAGATTATTACATAAGAATTATATTGAAGTTGTTCTTTCATATACACAAACTGACAATCAATGCTACACTGCATACATATCAGAAATCATTTGTATAATGTGAAGAGAATTTCATGCATTTTATAAACAATCACAGATGACTACTAAACAGTTCCGATCCAGTGTTTTAAATTATTATGTGTGAGACACTATCTTGAATAATATGTAATAGAATAAAGTTAAGGACTTTGATTCATTAATTAATTGATTAAATAAGAAATGGGATTCGTCGTGTATTACAACAAAAACGATCTTGTTCACAGCATCGAAAATTAGTCAAACAGAATTTTGTCTATTTTGAAAATTAAACATGCATATATATAAAATAAGCTTTGTATTATAGAGCTTTGCATGTTGCATCTTGACGTATATTTTGTTTTTTTTATAAAATGTATTAAACACTGCAAAACTCAAATGTAAAGTGTGACCATTCATTATGACTCACCCATTAGAAGCTAAGACCTTTAATCATTAATGAGTTATCTTTGAAGATCAATGTTTGAGAGAAGTGTTAACATTCAATGACAACAATATTCTAAACGAATCTATTGTTCATCCAATGAGACACGTAGAAAAAGATAATTTCAAAATGATTACGATTAAGATCTAGCAAACTCTACTTTCGAAATAAAACATTTGTGCAAAAACATTTAACAATTTATATTGTATTCTTACAAAACTTATGAATATTGGGTTGTTTGACACATATCCACAAGGTACTGTTAATGGTTGTTTATTTCAGATCACCTATCCGATAGCATGCTGACTATAATGTGGCATACACCTACTCTTGCAGGTAGTTAGTGTGTATGAAGAGCTCAAGAACTCTGTATCACACCGACCTTCTGTTCGGAGCTACAGCTAGTATTAGTTGTACGGAAGATGTCGGACTATTGAATTTGCCGAAAAGTAGGGATATCCTTCCAATGCTCGCTTTCTCTAGGAATTATAATAGTTCCGTTGACAGTTCATCGACAATTTAGAAATTTCTATTTCTCAGTTTTTGAACATTACGAGGATTTCGTACATTTATAAATTCAATCAAGTGTGAACAGTTGATGATAATAATTATTAGTAATTTGCTGAATTCTGTAGTCGTTATAATAAACTTCAAATTTTTATGTTATTTTTCATTTATAAAAAATAAAATATAATTTTTCAAACAATTTTCTAAAGACTGCATAAATGAGATATAATACAGTCGCTGGAAGTAGGTACATTCCAACTAAATAAATAGCCAAGACTTTCTATTCTGGGAACTGACGGTACTAGTGTATACATTTATTCATGTTTGTGGTTTCTTTGTTTCCTATACTTTTTTCTCGCACTCTTTTCGTTGTGATCGTTACTATTCATCTTCTCATTAGTTACAATTCTTATATTCATTGTTATAATTTATTTTTCATTACACGTCTTAACTTTGTCACTCATATTCTTCTCATTAACTCTTTCTTCATCGTACGCATCTTTATTTTACTATAAAACTTCTTTTTTGACTGTTACCTTCAGTCAACTACTTCTTCGGCTATTCATACTATTTTTTTTCGTCCTATCTTTTTTGCTATTTATCATTTAATAAAATACATCGATGAATCTTCATTCACCCTCATATCAATTTATCATCATTTTATTACATATTACCTTATAGTGACACCTAAAATCGAATCCTATTACATTTCCGAGAGATTAACACAAAAGTATGTTAATATTAGGATGAATATGTGAGTTGTGTTAATCCAAAGAAATTTTTTTTTCCAATTCGTGAAACAATTAATAAAATATAAAATTATTATGATGTATTTTCAACAGTGTAAACGATCCCATCAAATAGTTATTCAGTTTGATTCGCACTGTTCTGATCAAATTTCAGGACTCTAATTTTAAATGCAAAGAAAAGATAACAAACAATTTGATTCTTTGCAATTGAATTTTGTATCAAGGTTTTTTTTTTCATTACTTAGTCTTACGATTAATTCTTTTAACTTGTATTAAATATTGAGTTCCACTAATTAGTTAACATTATAATTTTCTCTAACGTATTTAATTGATGCTTAAATTTATGATTTGCTATTTTTAATATTTATTACACTAGTAGTATAAAGAAAAACTATAAATATGTCCGAATCATTGTTGTTTACTATCAGTAGAAGAAAAAAAATCCTTTATACTTGCTTGACGTACCTATGTTATGAAATCAATTAAATTGATCAAAAACAACTCACTTAAACCTATAGTTATGGACGAAAGAAATCTCTTGAAATCTAATACTCTATTGTAGTTAAATATATGATTTTGACTTTGAATAGATCTTGTGAGAAAAGATTGTTAAATGTTAAACTTGTATATCATATTTCTTTATTAAAACAAAAAACAAAAAAAGGAAAAAGAAAACATTTTAAAGTATTATTCATAGTTAAATCTAACAGTTCAAAAAAAAAAGAACTAAATAATTAACATGATCAAGATTAAAATTTGGATTGTTATTGAACTTGAATAAAATTTGCTTTAAATATTTTCCATATGATTTAAATCTTTTCTTAATAAACGATAGTAATACAATAATTCAAGATAATCATAAAAAGATTCTATTCAACATGTACAACAAGTAAATTAGAAAGAAAAAAATGCGGTTAACGAAATGATTCAGTAACACGAGGAAATTCAATTTGCCAAAATGCTTCATTCATTGGTAAATAATTGAATGTACCTTGGTTAGATTACCATAATGGATTTTTGTATATTGTGCATTAAATAATTTATGTCTTTTACAAGATACTTAAATCATATTCAGAGAGTTCTTCAACCATAAAAACTTCAAGAGTCTTTTTTATTTTGATCCAAGAATTTTTCTTGTCAAACTTTATTTAATATTTCTCTGATTATATCTCAACGACTAATGTCAAGAGAATAAACATGAATTAATGTTGATTCAGCATCTAAAAATAATGATCTGAATGATTTACTAAAATGAAAATATTACAATGTATAATTGAATTTTCGTATTAATTAATAACTGCATATCAGATAAAGAATAGATATGATATCTAACAGAAAATATTCTCTATCATAATTAGTATTAAGAAATATGAATTGATCATTAATTTAAATAAAAATAATTCATGATTAATTATGTGATGTTGAGCTTATTTAATTTATTTTAGATATTTATTATAATTTAATAGGAATTTTCTTTGAGACAATAGTTTTGTTTGTTTTTTTTGTCATGATTATTATCAAATGACTTTATTACATGTCAAAAGTCCACTTGACAACATCAAAGAAGATTAAAGATAAGAATTAAATATGTCAACAATGAATTATTTATCATAGACAATTGAAATACCACTGACATAAAACTAAAACGACATCTATTGAAAAGAAATATTTTATTATTTAAGATACATTTTTTAATTATTTACATTCTTCATCCTATTAGTTATTTTTAATAAAATTTTTTAATTAATTTTGTTGGTTTAAAACATTAGTTACACCCAATTATATATTTAGATCCTTTTATTCTTTCTTTATGTTGTTGTTGTTTTTTTTCACATTTATACATAAGTTTATTTGTTTATTTATTTGTAAGATATCAAAAGATAAAAAAAAAGAACATCAGAGGCTTAAGTTACTAACAAGGTTATTTTTGCTGTTGATGCAAAACATTTTTGACATATTTACACGTATGAATTTTTGGGATATTTTCATTTTTTTTATTTCGTATTTATCATATTAATAAAATTACCAAACAAAAAATTATGTTTTCTCTAGTGTAATATATTTATTATTCATACCAATTCACAGCATGGATTTAGAATTTTCAACAAATATATTAGATACACCATCATTAATAACACCAAATATTAGTTTAAATCCACTTATATATAAAATTTCACATACACCTACAATAGTTGATGTAAACAACGAGGATAATCATGATTTAAGTACTAACCCACCTTCTATAATAACAACAACAATAACAAATAATGAATCATTATCTACATCGTCCAATGACATAAAATTATCGAAAATAGAAGATGACCTTAAACGAACTTTTACTCAGCCACGTAAACCAACTGAATCACTTTTTCAAAAAATGGCAAAAGCTGGAGTCTTGTCAATGGAAAACGTTTCTATACCTTCTAACATTGACGACGGTATACCTGTTGACGTACCATCTACAGCAGAGGTAAAATGAATCATCATATATGATTCATTTATTTTTTCTCATATTCATATTTAAGGTTATGAATGATCTAGAATCATTTTCCAAATATTCAACACAAGATAATATAGAACGCGAAACGGCGTCACTACTAACTAGTGATAATAATAATCATTTTGATACATCATCATCATCACATACTATGGGTGTTGTTGTTGCACCAAAAAAGAAATTACTTCAAAGAACTCAATCTCGTACTGAACCAACATCACCAACATCAATTACAAATAATCATTTTTCTCAATCACACAAAACTGATCTTAATGATGCAAGTTCAATCGATGATGATCATCAATTATCTAGTAATAATGATTTTCAACGTCTACATGATATGCCTCTATTAATACATACTATTGATTCACATCCACAATTAGATAATAATTTAAAACCACCTTATACAATACAATTAAAAACAGATCAAAATGGAGTACATCCAACAATGATTAAACAACAACCAATGACACCCACTAATAAACGAACATTTCAACAGACTATTATTGGTAATTGAATTTAATTATCTTCTTTTCCATAGTATATTTCATTAGATTAATTTTTTTTTTCTATATTTAGGTGGATCAATACCAAAAGCTAATTCAATTCTTATTTCTCAACAACCAATTATAAATGAAGCTACATCAAGTAATCAATTATTAAATATAAAACGACAAAAAACGATTCCAATACAAACCAATACTCTAAATATAAATTCATCATTTCCATCATCATCATCATTAACAACAACACCAACAACACCACCATATGATAATAATAATAATGTTGGATCGGATGATCAACGTAAAAAACAAATACGTGATAGTAATCGTGAAGCAGCAAGACGTTGTCGTGAACGTCGTCGACATTATATTGAACAACTTGAAGGAAATTTAGAACAATGTAAACAACAAATCAAACAATTAAATGAAAAATTATCTCATGCTGAACGTGAAAATACACAATTACGTGCTATTTTAACTGAAACAAAAAGATTTCATTCAACATCATGTTTACCATCAAATGAATCAATGTTAGATTTTGTTAATGTTATAACAACGAATGGAATTGAAATTAATTCAGATTCAACTGATGGAAATATAATACCAAGAAATTATTTTCCTAGAAATACACATTAAATTTCATAATCAAAATATGAAATATTAATATCCAATAGTGTAGATGCAAATTCGAGAAAAAACAGGTAATGTATTATTAGACAAAAAAATATACAATGTGTTATTAACCGGTTACAATTTTTCTTTTGTTTACTTGTATATTTTATTTACGAAAAAAAGAAAAATTCATTTTCTTACAGTGATGTTTTTTTCTTTTAAAATATTTGCTTTTTTTTTCTGTGTATTATTATACTATTATTGTATTTACATAAACATATTTAATTACTCTTATTATTCTTCATATTTCTGTAAAGATCAAAATCAAAATATCATTTTCGTTATCTTTATTTTTTCTTTCGTTTTTTTTTTTTTTTGTTCTATTTTCATCTTGATATATCTAGTGAGTATAGATTCCTATACAATGATAATTTTATTTATCTTTTATGCTCTTGGTTATTGAATTCTTGTATTTTTCGAATGCATTGTTTTGTGTGTGTGAAAACAATAAATAAATCTTTCGTTTTTTTTTTATTTTTTAGATTTAAATATGAGATTTATTTTTTTTATTGTTTTTATACGGACAATATTATCATCACGATATCATGATGGTAAATTTGATTTATTTATTGCATATAAAATTAAAATATGTTTTCTTTTAAATTTTAGTTATAATTGGTTCCGATGATGACTGTTGGTCAAATGAAAAAGATAATGCCATAGAAAAAAAATATGCTACTCTAGTAAAATTTTCACCTGAAATTGCTTATGGAAAAGATAATTGTTCCGTACATATAATCAGTCCATGGTTACCACATATGCAAAATGGATTTGGTTTATTTGTATCTCGAGAAATGGATTGTTCATCAACTCTTATAGTTGATTGTCTTTCTGATACTACTTTAATTAATCGAGTAAATACTTTTTTTTTTTTCTTTTAGTTTATTTTTATTCTATATTTATGTATATAGACAAAATCATTACCAGTACAATTTACATGTCATACAAGTCAAAATAAAATTGAAATGCCTTGTAATTCAATAAGTTTAACTTTTAAAAGAAATATAAAAGTATCAGAAACGAAAAAGACGACACTCGTACAAGTTATTGCATTAGCTAAAAGTAATTGGTTCTTTTTTTTTGAAAAATTTAATTTCAAAAATTTTGTCTTCGCTTTTTAGAACCTTGTATTGATGATGATATATTTTTTCAATGTCCTACAGATTATCCTGATTCATGTATTGATAGAAAATTAAAATGTAATGGACGATCTGAATGTCCAAGTGGTGATGATGAACTTGATTGTCATCGTATGTATTTATTTCTAAAGCTTTCGACACATTAGAAGATCCGGGCGAGAGATTTTTTTATGTCTGTTTCGAAAAATATCATTTCCTATTAGTTAGTTCTCAAGATTTTTCTAACTCGGAACTGATACATCGTTATGATGGCGAAAGCAAAATCTTGCCTATACTGAACTTACGAGATAAGGATTATGTTGATTCCGAATATTAATATGATTTTTGCCGGTAGATTTTCGAAGATACAATTATCGAGAAAATCAGATCTTTGAAAATCTAGCGGTAAAAGTTATGTTGATATTTGAAATTAACATGGTTGATTACTTATAATTCACTAGATTCCAAGTAAATGGCGATAGAACACTTGGTGACCTTTCCTCTTAAGAAAAAAAATCAATAAGTTGCAGAAATTATTCTAAAAAAAAAAGCGATTTTCAAAGGGAGGTCTTCTAATGTACCGGTGATTTTTTTATTCATAATGATGAAGATTTTTATTTATTTAGGTTCACCTGCAAAGGGTATTTCAATAATTGTAATTTTTTTTATAATTTTGGCATTTTTATTTCTTATTTGTGTTTTATCAACAGGTAAAATAAAATAAAGATATATTTTTTTTTTGTTTTATAATTATTTCATTTATTTATTCAAGTTTTTATTTGTTGTTGTTGTCGAGCAGCATTTAATCGAATAATGAAACGTTTTCGTTCACAAAAAGAAAATAAATCTCATCAAAGTTAGTTATTATTTATAAATTTTATTTAATCTATCAAAAAATAATTAAAATTTTAGAAGTCAATGTTACAACAACTGGTGAAGATGCTATTTTAATAAAAGAACTTACAGCACCAACTGTTACTGTAGAAATTTTACCTCAGCAACAAATTGTATCTGCACCATTAATTATTGATTCAACTAAACCGATTTATCCACGTTTGGAATAAATCAAGTCAGATATGAAATCATTATAAACAAACATTATTATTTGTTGTAATTCAGTTGCTTATTGTCTTTTTTGTTTTGTGTCAGATCTTTTTTTCCCTTCTTCAATCTAATCTCAGCTTAATGATTTAGACGTCCAGAAACATTCGAATTTCGCCGGAACTCATTAGAAGAATACGAGATAATCATTGTATTCCGATCTGAAAATTGATATGGATGTTGGAAGTAGACTGAAATGTCTTCGGATTTTTCTAACGGAATACTTCTTCTAAGTTTCATCAATTTTCTCATTGAAACGGATAGAGCCGACCATCGAATTTATGATTCTACGTTCTTACTATCTTCCGATTAGCTCCAGGCGAAAATCTATGAATTTGGATGTTTGCTATCGTTGATTTGAGTTGCTTAAAGCATTACTATATATATATATATGTTAAATGTTGTCATTAATTCACAAAGAAAATTTCTTTCCAATAAAATTAATGTGTACAATATCTTTAAAAAACAACAGATCTCTTCACATTTTTTCAGATGTTATCACTAATTAATATTTTGCTTCTAATGTTTTTGTCATGTTCATTTGCTAAAGTAACATACTGTAAGATAATATTTCTATCGCAAAAATAAGCGTAGAAAAAAATTTTTTTTACTATCTTTTTAGTCAATCTTGAAAATACCTATGGACCATATTGTAATCCAAATAATAAATTTACACCAGATGCAGGAATAGTTCGTTATGCTGGGTATGTCAATAACACAGTTAATTGTTCTTTGTTTTTTTTTTATACATTTGGTGTTTTTTTGTTTTTCTTGTCTAGAACACCATGGATTGGTAAATGTGTATTAAATATACAAAGTTGTTGTTTACCAGTTTTTCAAAATGGATCATTAATACCTAATCTTGCTATATCAACAAGATTTTATGTTCATTTAGTTATGCAACCATTATGTTTAACAGAAAATGTAACTGTACGAACTGAATCCGGTAAAATGGTAATTTAATTTTTAAATTAAAATTTCTCTTGTTAATTAATTTTTGCTATTTTAGATAACAATTGATTGTAATACAAAAAATGGTAGTGAATATTATTTTGATACAGAACAATTAACAATTACATATGATCGAACAGAAAAATTACCATTATCAAAATTTTCAATGATTGTTACACCATTAAAATTAAAAACAAGTATTGTTATAAGACAAAAAAAAAAAAAATTTGTTTTTTAGTTTTATAGAATAAATATTTTTTTGTTTTTGAGGAACATATACAAAATGTGCCTTTGATTGTTTTACGGATATTTATTGTATCGATCAAAGTCTTATTTGTGATCGATATAAAAATTGTCCGAATAATGTCGATGAATCAAATTGTGAATATAGTAAGTGAATTAATATTTAAATGAAATACTAAATAATCTTCTAGGTCATCAACATGAACCATTATCATTTCGTTCAAAAGTTATTCTCTTTTTCGTTCTACTGGTAATCATCTCATCTACTATATCTTCAATATTAATTTGTTATTTTTGTTGTGGAGTTTCGAAAACTAATCATATTAATACTACAAATAAAGAACGAAGATCAAGTATAAAATTATTAATTAATAAATATTTTTTTTTTCTACAATTTTTTCTTTCTTTCTATATTTAGCTCATGGAGGAATAGAAGAAAGTGGTGCTGTAGTCACTCCACTTTTATATGCATAATTTTCTGCAATATTAATACATCTCCTTTAATGATTAAAAATTTAATGTTTTTAATCTCATATATCTAGTCATTTTATTATATTGTTCAGATAAAATCATCTATTTATTTTTATGTTGTTTTTCCATTATTATGATTATTTTATTTATCTACGCATTCGTATAAATATTATTTGTATGTATTTTTTAAATGTTTAAAAAATATTTAAAAATAAAAACTATGTATTGTATTATTAGTATTGTCATGAAAAAATTGCCTTCGTTTTTTTGTATATTATCGTTAGAGAATTTATTTCTATACAAAATAGTCTACTTTATTTTTCAAAAACAAATCTCTTGTTGGTATAAAATTAAGAAAATCAACATGTACTTAATCGTCGATCTGTAACAATTAGAAGAAAAAAAAGAAAGAAAAACTGATGGAAACTTTTTAAGAAATATTTGATTGGAAGTTAAAAATATGTCACAATATATTCTACGAAAAAATCTGTATCTTTTTCAAAATATTTTATGTAGAAATATTTTGAAATAGAAAGTTTGAGAATACCGTAAAAAAGGTAGTTTTCATATGAATCGTGGCAATCTTTGTTTTTTCATTTCACTGCGGAGAATGATATGAAATTTATAATAGAAGACTGCAATCTTATGAAAAAACCCTTCGGTTAAATCCTTTTAACCTTTTTTTCCATTAAAATATTACTCAATCGTGTTTCTTGGAGAAGAATAAAAGAGAAAATAATAGCTCATATATACATAATGAAAATGCATTTTCCTTGGAGGAGGAAAACAACTATTATCGATTAAAGTGAAAATGAGAGAAAAACAGAGAGCTAAAAATAATTCGAGAAAGAAATCAACGATTAATATCAGTAGTAATATACATTTAGCAAATATATTAAATGTGTAGGAACAAGTTCATGAACTTCTTTGTAACGATAAAGATTCAAATTTTGATAATTGGTACAGTTCTAATGGTGATTCAAGTATTGAAATTACTTTCACTCTTGATGAATGTGAAAATGAATTAATACATTTATTGACATATGATCAATTGGAATCCGAAGACGATAATAAAGAAAAAGATGATCGAAAAAAAAAACTATGGACTGAAATTTGTTAAACATCATCAACAACAATAACAGCTCACGAAGAAACCTCTTCAGATGTCGTCTCCCTTTCAATTTCAGTGATTTTGTTTGCCTATAGTTACTACATAGTGTTCTAATAAAAGCTCTAAATAAATTTGAGTTCCTATTGAGAACTGACTAAGCTATCAAATTTTTAATATATCTATTTTCTAGAAGCTCTACATTTTCAGAAAACTCGTATTTTCGAATTTTGCTCTGAAACTTTGAGCATATAGAGAATTTAACTAGACTAGCTTCCATAAAAAAAAACTTCAAAATTTTTCAACAAAGTCACTTCGAGATATGAGACTTTCAAGATATAGATCGTTTTCCATGGATAGTGTATATAACATGCATTTTTTTGCAAATTTCATATCTTGAATAGACTTTGATCATAACTTTCGAAATTTTTCATGGAAGCTAATCTAGTTGAGTTGTCTATGTGCATCTGAGGCTCTGGCAGATAGACATATTAAAAATTCCGTAGCTTCGTTAAATATCAATAAGAACCGAAATCTCATTAGGATTTTCCTATTAGAACGCTATGTAGTATCTGTAGCCAATATATCATTGAAATTGGAAGGAAGCATCGAAAGAGATTTCTTCGTCAGTTTATGAAAAAGTGAAATTCAATTGTAGTTCGATTTTTTTTTATATATGAAACATAATTATTATGAATTAAATAAAATATGATAATGATATTTGATCCTTTGTTGACAGGAATTCATATTAGAAGACTCGAGCTCTTTTATTGTGTATGGGAGGATGAAGATATTTTATTTAGAATTAAATTTTGCATTCGACGGTATGACAATTAATGTTTGACAGGATGAATATGACTATCAAAAACATGGTTTTTGATAATGGAATCTTTTCTACTGAGTGACAATGTCAAGAACATTAAATTTGAGACTTTGTCCTTGACCAACGTGATAGAGACACAACCGACATTTTGTTTTTTCATTTCACTTCTCAATATGTAGTAGAAAAAAAAAAGGAACAAAAGAAAATTTATGTAAAATAAAAGATGCTCATAGCAACGTAACTTTTACATGTTTATTTTGACTTTTTTTTTTAACATATTGATTTGAGTGAAATAAAACTTGCTACGAACTTGTTAGTTGTTCTTGAAATAGTGATCAAGTACAAATACAAATGAAATCTTTCAATTGTACTGATTGTTGATTAACAGGTGATTTTTCATCCACAGAAATTTTTTGTATTAATTTTAAGGATCAATAATATTGATTAAATTTTAGTTAATCATTTTTTTTTAATTCTAAGTTTAACTCTATTTGATTTTCTTTTGAAAAACTTGTTTCAATATTATTAATTTTTAAAAATATTCATATAAATCTTATTTTAATTTCATAAGTTTAAAACTTCTTACTAAGTTACACATATGCATCAAGTCATTTATCTTTTATTATGAATATTAATATTTTTAGATTGAAAATGTCATTTTTTAATTTGACATTGATGGGTCATGATAATCGATTTAAATCGATGAAACGTCTTGAACCAACCAAAACAGATATTTGTTCGACTGAATTACGACAAGTTCCAACCGGACGTCAAGATAGAACTCCAGCCGAAAAACAATTAGCTCGTGAAGTGAATGGAAATATACAATCACGAGAATGGACATCACCAGCTATATCAAATTTGTAATTGTCTTTTTTTAATAAATCAAAAAAGGTTAATTTTGTTTGATTCTTAGAAATTATCATACATTACGTACAATGCATGTACGTGGTGATCAAACTCCTAATCATATTACACGACAACCATTGACAGCCGCTCAAGATAGTAATAATTAAAAAAATTTAAGTAATTTTACAAATTTATTTTTCAGTTGGTTGGTGGACTAAAGATGAACCGTTAAAAATCAATGAACCATGGACTTATGAAAAACATCATGTTCATGCTCAATCCGAAATGACTAGGTATAAAATTTTTTTGTTTCATCTCAATTTCTTCTATTATTAATTTAATTTTAGATTTGTCGATGATATGACTTTAACCGATCGTTATTTTCGTCTTTTTTAATTTTTTAATTTTATTTTTCTATTCCATTCATATACATATATATTTTTTTTTCTCTTCTTTATTTGAATACAAAATAAAGAATTATATTTTAACAATTAAATAAATATTACAATAAATTCAAAATAATGAGATAAATGAATATAATGAGAAAATGAAAAAAAAAAAATTTTTGCACTGTTTGATTTTGTGCACATACGAAAAAAATTGCAGATCAATATAAGAATACATCAATCAAGATAAATTACTAAAAAAAATAAATATCTAAGCTCTGTACAACATATATTCTCAACTTAATTCAAATTATTCATTTCCTGAATCATTTATTAAAAAGGACGCAAAAATGTTAAAATTTTGTTATTTTTTGTTTAAAGTAGAAAATATTGATTGAGTATTAGTATTTAATAATGAAACATCAGGTGTAGTTGGACTAGTTAATTGATTTAATGTTAATGATGTTTTCTGTGAATTACCACGTGTATGTGGAACTAAATTATTTAATGATATATCTAATTTTCCAGCTGCCGATGACCAAATATTCTAAAAATGAAAATTATCAAAATAGAATTAAATTAAATTAATAATCAGATATATTTTAGTTGTCGTCAAAAAATTCAATCGTACATCTAAACATGAATTTTATTTTTCTAATTCATCCTCATAGTATAGAAGCCTAGTCTCAAGGTTATAATCTGTCCAAATGTAATAGAAGTCAACCCTATCCGATCGAATGCAAAACAATAATGTAAATCATCGAATTTCATTTGTTCTTATTAACAAATAAATGAATTTTTTTTTTCGTGTACGCGCATATTTTAATACTATTCTATTCACAAAACTGAAGTATGGGCCAATTGAAGTTATGCGAAAATTTATCGGACTCAAAACAAAAAAAACAAGTGCTAGTATCTTTCTTTATACAATGTGATGCATAATCAATCAAGCAATATGACTTTATCATGAGTTAAAAAGCAAGAAGACAAAAGCGATAATTCATTGTAGGATTTATATTAGAATTCAGTAGGATTTGATTACCAAATAAGAAATTAGAATAACATAAATATGAAGAAAAGTATACCTGTTTCTCTGCGATGGTAGACGGTTGTTGTTGAGGAATTGTAATCTATAAAGATTTTTATTTTCTCTTGAATTCTTTGTTTTATTTCTTATTAAAATTAATTATTTATTAGACTTACATTCAATAAATTTATATTTGATTGTTGTTGTTGTTGTTGAACCATTGATGAATTTGTAGATGATTGTTGTTGATTATTTGAAAATAGATTTGGTTGAACAGGATTAGTTGATATTTCAAGTGATGCAAATGGATCAAATATTATTGATGATGAAGATTGTGTTGATGTTGGCCAATGTGTTGGTTGAACTCTAAATAATTATATGATTTTTATTTTTTATTTTGAATAAGAATTAAAAATAAAAAGACATACGGAGATGTTGGAGATATTGCTTCTTGAAATTGACCAAATTCAACATTTTGTGAAGCTTGAACATAAGGTGTAAAATCGATATCATTATCTAATAAATTAACAATTGGTTCTTCAATTGTTGACGATGGTTTTTCATTATTGATGGAAGACTAAATTTAATCAAAAAGATTGTTTTTAGTGTGTTATAGAATCTAATGGTATAATCAGATGAAAGCTCACAAGGGAAGTTCCCTGACTGATGAATCACATTTGAATCGGGTGCCCAGCTTATTCCTGAGTAGATACTACATTTTTTAAAATTTAATGCTATGCTTCTCATCAAGAAAATTGATTTTCAAATTTCGACATGAATCTTTGCACAGAGACTGATTTTAACAAGAATAGTTTACAGTGAAAGTGTCAGATCTTTTCATTGTTCCTTTTCGAAGATATGACGATGGTAAAAACATATTGTTCACATCACTTATATACATCGCCAGATTCGATGTTTTTTATTTTAAGGTAGGAAAAAATCAAAAAACCTAAACTTTTCACAATAAATTATTCTTGCGAAGAAGAGTTTCAAGTCGAAAACCAGTCTTCCTGATGAGGATGACGACATTGACTTAAAAATGCAGTATCTCAGTAATAATAAGCTAAGAACCGGGACTCTTTTCAGGATATTCATAGCTTATTATCATCTACAAGATTTGAATAGTTCCGATTCAACAACGATTGATCAGTTATGAAACTCTCTTTGTCAGTCCGTTCTTAGCTCCCTAAAAAAGTTTGAGTTTCACTTAAGAAAAGGGCTGGTATGTCTTCTAAAAGCACTATCAGACATCTTCTCTCCTTCTATAGATGTAGCCATGGACTCAGCCCACTCTACAATCTCTTTGTGAAAAACGGTTTAAGATTAATGTTAACCTATAGGAGCAAACATTTGAACTTCCCCTTATCCTTATAGATCATGACAGATGTTAATATATAATCAAAGGCTGCATTTCTGGATGTTTCACATTTTAATCTCGTAGATAGAGCTCGTCGGGCCCGAGTGTGCTAATCACCAAATGCAAAAAATTGGCAAAAAGAATCTCATATCTTCGGGCCGATTATCGAATTTCGATTGGACTCTATCCGCAAGAATTGCTCTAACTGGGTTTTTTTGCCCTAGTTACGGCAGTGAGTTCTAAAAAGTTGTATCAGCTTGTGCAAACGATTTTAACAATTTTGTTAATGTTAAATTGCTGTCTACATCTGATAAAGAATTTTCTTTTTGATAGTTTGATTAAAGTTTACAATCATGTATTCAATAGGATTATTACTTTAATCTCTATCATAATAAAAGAATTAAAAAAAAAGAGAAAAATAACTTACTGGATTTTGTTTTGATGAATTTGTATTATTATCCTAAAAATAAAAAGTTTGTATGATCAAATAAAGAAACGTCAAGTGAATTTCAGTTTCACTTGTGTAGGGTTGAAGATCAAAAAAAAGGAATTTACTTTTGGCAAAATTAATAACACTACAAACATTTTATCATTTCTAATGTTTTCAAGATTTGCCATAAGGGAAGAAGCTTTTTTTTTATTATTTTCAATTTACCTGTATTTTATTTTGATCTTTTTTTCCTGTTGATTTAAAATTTTGATTATTGTCTTTACTAAAAAAAAAAAACAATATTTTGTTAAAATTTGCTCAGATTATAATGAATGGATGAGAAAATGCAATCATCATATTAACATTCAGATGACGCGCATGAAAAAAATCATCATTGCAAATTTACCTTTTATCGAATGAATTATCTTCAGATATGAAATCTTTTGTTTTTATTTCATCATCATTATTATTCCATCGATCATCTGAATTATCTAAACATTAGTAAAAGATTTTAAAAATAAGAAATAAAAAAGCAAAAAGAGTTTCTTACTATAACGATATGATGATGATTCATTACTCATACCAATATATTTATCTCGATTAGCTCGAGCTTTTTTACGTTCATCTCGAATTCGATCTTCATCTTGAATAAATTCAATTAATTCTTTTACTTTATGACGTACTAGACAAATAATAAAAAAAAACAAATAAATCAAATTATATAAAAATAAATTATAATTTATTTTACTATTAACTCCTTGATCTTTGCCATGTTCATCATGATAAGAAAAATTTTCTAAACTTCTAAGATCAAAAAGATGTTCATGTGCTGATTTAACCACTTTTTCACTACCATTTTTTATTAAATATGTTAATACAAGAAGTGACTAAAAATAAAAATAATTAAATCTTAGCTTTCCTGTATGAAAAGATAATGTTTTATATAGATTTATTATTCCAGAGAGGCGATTTAAAAGTCCGGAAGGGTCGATCCGATCTTCGATGTGGCGCCATCCCCACACTGAATAAAACACTAGACTTAACTTTGCGCTCATCATTTGTCTGTAAATAACAACAAACTCCGAGAGGCAGAGCTTTAATCGCCTGAGAGATGTGTAAAAAGCGCTAATGACGGAGTGCAAAGAGCTGGAAGAACGTATCCTCGGAGCGACTATCAAATTCTAATTAGAAAACTTCATTAAAAGTATCAAAGTATAGTTCGATAGGAAAGCGCGACACATCCTCGGTCCTAACCCTGGACAAAACACTGATAGACCTGCTGATGTCTTTTCTGTAAATTTTCGGTTAAACGAACAGTATGTACAGAAAATTCAAATGAAAACATTTTGTTCTTCTTTCTTGAGATATTAAATTTTTAGGGCAATTTCATTATTGTATTCTGTTTGTTATAAGAGAACATTTTTTTCTGCAGACGGCGATAGACTAATTAGAGAAGAATTGATGGCATATTGCTCACTTATGTAAAAACATGTAAAGAGCCGCTGATATTTTTTACAATATTCAGACGAATTTACTATTGCTTATCTTGATCGGCAGTCCATTGTCACTATTAAATCCGTAAAATCAACAGATAGTTGATGTTGATTTACAGATCGAAAAGCTTAATATATCGGTGTCATCAACCGGCCTGAAGCCCTAATTTTTATTTTGCTACTATGAACGAGAGTTGCCAAATCTTTCCCTATCATCACTTCATTAAAGGTACTCTGTATCTAATATGTGAACATACACCAATCCTTACTAAGAAATTATCAGTAATAGAGTTTTATTATCAAGTCGTTAATCAGAAAGTACAACTTATTATGTTATGTATTTACGAATGACATATTTATTCAAGTTCATATTACATAGAACAGAAACAACTTGCGCGATTTTTTTTAATCTTATGAAAATCATCAATACCTACCAGTGATGTCCATGGTGGCACCGCTGCTACTGTGATGCTAGCATTCTTTTTTGAAAATCACTGCGGCGACAGGCTCTTTTTAGAAAACTATTGTGGCAGCGGCAACTTTCTATATAGTTCGCTGCGATGGACATCTATGATACCTAATGTGTAAATACTGGCAAAAATAGCATAGATTTTGAGTCGTTGATTAATATTTTCAAGAGCCGCTCTTGCACTATTAATATTACAATTAAAGTGTTTGTCTTCAGCTACTAATTCACTCCACC